CCCCCCCCCCCCCACCCCCCCCCTCGGTGTTTGCCATCGGGGTTGGGTTTTCGTCGCTTGGCAACGACGTTGTAAAACAAGCCGCCCCCCCCGGTGTTTGCCATCGGGGTTTGGGTTTTCGTCGCTTGGCAACGACGTTGTAAAACAAGCCCCCCACTCGGTGTTTGCCATCGGGATTGGGTTTTCGTCGCTTGGCAACGACGTTGTAAAACAAGCCAATTCACTTCGTGAACTCGACAACCAGGTTACCGTTTTTTTTTTTTTACCTCGGTTTTTTTTTTGGCGGTAACCATAATGGTGGTCGAGTAGATTATGTTGTGCGGGGTCGAGAAACCTCACTCCGCGCAACGGGGGATGATCGCACCACGTTGTGTTAAAATGGTCAAGCTTCCTCGAGGCAGTTACACAGTGCTTACAACTGTCTCTGGAAGTGAAAGCACCAGAAAATAAATTAAGTCATACGTAGCTGTCATCCGTACGCAAGGAAGTAAGCACAAGATGCCGAACACCCTTAGCAGGATGCAGCTCACCCTTCATGCGACTCGCCAAATACCTCACGGCGCTTCGCGCTTGGTGATGTGAGAGCCTGGTCCGGTGAGAACCCGGCGTGCCCCGTCCCGGCTTTGTAGGGATGAGAGGTCAAGGGTTTAAGTCGTACGGCAAGGACGTCTGTAAAGCACACCCCCCCCCCCGGTGTTTGCCATCGGGGTTTGGGTTTTCGTCGCTTGGCAACGACGTTGTAAAACAAGCCCCCCACTCGGTGTTTGCCATCGGGATTGGGTTTTCGTCGCTTGGCAACGACGTTGTAAAACAAGCCAATTCACTTCGTGAACTCGGCAACCAGGTTACCGTTTTTTTTTTTTTACCTCGGTTTTTTTTTTGGCGGTAATCATAATGGTGGTCGAGTAGATCATGTTGTGCGGGGTCGAGAAACCTCACTCCGCGCAACGGGGGATGATCGCACCACGTTGTGTTAAAATGGCCAAGCTTCCTCGAGGCAGTTACACAGTGCTTACAACTGTCTCTGGAAGTGAAAGCACCAGAAAATAAATTAAGTCATACGTAGCTGTCATCCGTACGC